AGACCAAAGTCCATAGAGAAAATCAATGATTTTAGCTCAGACCAAAGTCCATAGAGAAAATCAATGATTTTAGCTCAGACCAAAGTCCATAGAGAAAATCAATGATTTTAGCTCAGACCAAAGTCCATAGAGAAAATCAGTGATTTTACTTCACAGACCAAAGTCAATAGAGAAAATCAGTGATTTTAACTAACCCATCTAAACCTGCCACCTTTGATTAGTTTGTATCATTGAGTTGAAACAGAAGAAATGATTTCAAACCGTGACAAGTGACAAAAACAAATTAGAATTGAGTGATTGGGGCAGAAGTAGATGAGTAAGTGTGGTATCCTTGTGAGCTAAAATCACAGATTTCTTTTCTTCAATTCTTTATGCTGTTTACCACTTTTTTCCTGTCCAGGACCTTCAACCTTGACCTTTGATGCATCATGGGAAGGCACAACATTGACTTGGAAAGGACTATGTGGAACTTCCTGTGTGAAAACAAGAAAAAACTTCATTACAGTGGAACCCCAAAAAATTCTGTCAGGGGAACCAGAACCTGAGGTAAATAACAACATTTGTTATCAAAATTGATAGTACCAGAAAACTTTTTGCACATTTTGCAGTAAGAATATATAAATATATCTAAACTAGAAAAGTACCAAAGTATGAATTGAAAGGTTCTGGTACCTGTTCAGTGAACAATACTCTGACAGTGACAGTTCCTGGGGAGGGAGGAACATATTTAACGGTGAAGGTGTCATTGGCGTTGGGAATGATGTCGAACTCCACATCAACCTCTTTGGAATCGCTGATCACATGACCGTCACATTTAATTCCCACACTGACGTCTCCTGAAATCAAAGCAAACAGCAGGTGTATGAGACAAAGTGTGTGTGTGTGTACTGTATGTGTGAGATAATTTAAATGTATTTTCTGACAATTAAATGTCAAAGTAGGAATTGGAATGGAAGCAATTGCGAAACACTGGGACATTGATTGATTTTTTTTTCTTTCTCTACTCTTATCGGTTACGGTGTCGGCTTATCGCTTATGTCCTGACCGGGTTAGTCCTTGGGACGACGACTCTTGTGCATGCTGTCAGCAAAATTAATTAATTAATTTATTGAGGTTGTGTCTACGTGTGGGGGTTGGGTCTTTTAACCTTTTATCTGTACAGCAATTTGCTACATTAGTTGTATCAAAAAAAAAAAGTGCTTTATAAATAAGTAAAGTAATTGATCCAAAATTAAAGTTCTACTTTGTTGACACTAGAGGGTGTCCCTCTGCAGTTTTACATTTTCTTCTCGTACAGTTTCCCTGTTCTACACTTTTCCTGTGGCCCGGTCCATGTGATGACACCAGATCAGAACCGATGATGTTCCTCTGAAATGCAGAGACGGGCAGAACGTGCACCGCCATGACAGAACTCTGACAGGTGGATGAATTAGTCCTTGAGTGGACAGAGACAATGCTGACAACATCAGCCTTTCCTGCTCTCTCTCTCTCCACTTTGTGTTGCTGCAGCAAAGCTTGCCTGCCCAAACAACTGGTTGTTGAGCATTTAGCATAGTTTTATTTATTTAGTTGACTTGGCCAGTGTATTACATCTTTGGCTAACCTTTAGCTTTACTTTATCTTTGGCCAAGGTATAACTTACCATCTCCAGCTTCAGAACAGTCCACGGTAAAGTGGGTTGGTTCTGTGGCCTTGAGTCCAGTTCTTTCTATTCCGGGTCCACAAACCTTGACCAGTTCTGGATGACTTGCTTTACCCACAGAGACCTGAGAGTGAAACAGGAAACAACATTCATTAAAGTTTAGGACTACTTCCCGGGCTCAAGGTCAGAGTCACCAAAGACGAGGTATAACACTCAAACGGATCACCTCTGAGTTAACTGTTATCTGCACCTGGGCTAACTAAATACAAACGTTAATCACACATAAATTCGTCACAGCTGCATATATTACATGATTCTTCAGTTCAGAGCTAAAGCCTCTCGGATGAGAGGTGAAACATGTTCACGAAACCTACTCCTTCCAGTTGTTCCCTCGATGTAACAATTTTTTTTGGATGAGATGATCTTGATGACATTTTTTACAAACCTTGTCAACTTCATTTAGCCTGGTCTAACTTTCAATGAAGTCTGGGCTAACTTAAATCCAGCTCTTGATAAGGTTTTGGGAGTTTAGGTTTAAGCCTATGTCCGGACTCATGTTCATTACTTTTGACCACAATAGAAACAAGTTACATTAGTTAACGACTAGTTAAACTTGTGTCTAGACTCAACTAAGACTAACTTTCACTTTAATAACTTACATTTAGGTCAGGCGCTAAAAACAAACAATTGGCCATAAAGTGATGACAATTGTTAACATTTTTTTTAGATCAAGTCACTAAAGATCTTATAAAAATGACTTTTAGCACACACAAGAACTTGTTTAGATTTTGGCTTTTAATACTTTTAATATCAATTTTAACTTTTAATATTGTATCTTGTATTAAAATTTCATTGAATAAAAATTACAACAATGTCTATTGTATAATGACTATTTTATTCTATCCTATACTGATCTTGCTTCAACTTTGTTGGCTATCTTACATAAGTTACCTCTTGCCTAATCTATAGCCAAATGAAAATGAGAACCAGGAATAGCTAACTTCGCTAACAACATTTTTGTTGTTAGCTTCGGGAAATTTTTATGTTTGTGAGGATAACTTTAAAATCTACCTCTATATGTATATATCTCTGCTAGCTAACGGCTAAAAAAAAAAAGTGGGTTGTCTTCTCATTTACATCAGGTGTGTTTGATCTGTTGGGTGTTGTTCATCTTCGACTTTTAACCTTCATTTCTAATCTACAAAAACAGGACGACGTGTATTTATAGTAAATAAAAGTCACTCTCATTAAACACAAGAAGACACGTTCTCATCATCATGACAGTTTTTGTACGTGGATGGTGAAACAAAAACCAAAAACACACACACACACACAAGTGGAAACAAACACACCCCTGTTACAAGATTGTCCCAGAGTTACAGTGAAGTGTTACATTGAAGAAATGTTACAGTGAAGACCTGCTAAAGGTGTTACAGTGAAGAAGAGTTACAACGAGGACCTGATTAACTGTTACAGTGAAGAAGTGCTACAGTGAAGAATTCCGAAAGCAGTGCAGTGTTACAGTGAAGAAGTGTTACACTGCAGCAGTGAGGTGGTGAGTGGTGTAACTTTTTTGCTGCGGCGTAACTTTTCACTGTCACACTGCATCATTCTCATCGTCACGACAGTTGTTTTTGTCACTAGTTGGTCAAATAAACAAGCGGAAACATAACACACACTTAATACAAGATTGTCACAGATTAAAGTGTTACATTGAAGAAGTGTTACAGTGAAGAAGTGTTACGGCATACGTGTCACAACTCAAGGGCCGGGGGCAGAGTGTCTTAACTTGAGAAATTAACAGTTTGTATAATAAGTTAAATTGCAGAAACATGTATTGGTCTGTTATGGAGTCGTTACATCTATATCAGCAGTCCCAAACCATTTTTGTTCCAAGGGCTGGTCAGCCAGTACCACCCGTTTACTATAGACCGGGAGCAAGGTACTGAGCATTGAAGGATCATTACATTTTCAAAATAAATCATCTTAAAAATCTTAAAATATTGCCAGATTATCTTTAGATAAAGAAAGTAAATGGATATGACTAGGACTTTCTTTGAATGAAGTAAATTCGTTCAAATTAAGTATGTTTTTTCACTGTGTCCCACTGTGGCCCGGTACCAAATGACCTTTGGACTGGCACTGGTCCGCGGACCAGGGATTGGAGAACCCTGATCTATAAAGTACACTATATTACCAAAAGTATTGGCTCACCTGCCTTGACTCATACTATGAACTGAAGTGCCATCCCATTCCTAACCCAGAGTTCAATATGATGTCGGTCCACCTTTTGCAGCTATTACAGCTTCAACTCTTCTGGGAAGACTGTCCACAAGGTTGAGGAGAGTGTTTATAGGAATTTTTGACCATTCTTCCAAAAGCGCATTGGTGAGGTCACACACTGATGTTGGTCGAGAAGGCCTGGCTCTCAGTCTCCGCTCTAATTCATCCCAAAGGTGTTCTATCGGGTTCAGGTCAGGACTCTGTGCAGGCCAGTCAAGTTCATCCACACCAGACTCTGTCATCCATGTCTTTATGGACCTTGCTTTGTGCACTGGTGCACAGTCATGTTGGAAGAGGAAGGGGCCCGCTCCAAACTGTTCCCACAAGGTTGGGAGCATGGAATTGTCCAAAATGTTTTGGTATCCTGAAGCATTCAAAGTTCCTTTCACTGGAACTAAGGGGCTAAGCCCAGCTCCTGAAAAACAACCCCACACCATAATTCCTCCTCCACCAAATTTCACAGTCGGCACAATGCAGTCTGAAATGTACCGTTCTCCTGGCAACCTCCAAACCCAGACTCGAATTATGGTGTGGGGTTGTCTTTCAGGAGCTGGGCTTGGCCCCATAGTTCCAGTGAAAGGAACTTTGAATGCTTCAGGATACCAAAACATTTTGGACAATTCCATGCTCCCAACCTTGTGGACAGTCTTCCCAGAAGAGTTGAAGCTGTAATAGCTGCAAAAGGTGGACCGACATCATATTGAACTCTGGGTTAGGAATGGGATGGGAATGGGATATAGTGTATCTATTCATTTACAACCGGCCCTTCAAGGGGAACTGTATTGCTGAATTGGGCCCCCGGTTAAAATGAGTTTGACACCCCTGTGTTACAGTGAAGAACGACAGCAGATAGCAGTGTTACAGTGAAAAAGCATACAGCGAAGTGTTACACTGCTGCAGTGACCAGGTGTCATGGGTGCAGGGGTTTAACTCACAGCAGTGGCGTGGCTCTTGTTTTACTGTGTTCCACTGTTGTTACACACCGTAACACCACTTTGAAGTACGAGTGCTGCATAGTAACTTTTCACTGTAACACCGCATCATCACCAAGTACAAGGTTAGCAGACCAAGACCCCACCTCTAATTCCTCCGGCTGCTACAGTTCAGAAATGTAGGAAGATACATATAAATAGTTCTGTAGCCTGCAAAACCGAACAGTGTGGCAGTGTAACAATGAGAAAACACCGCAGCAACAGGGTTACATTTAGAGGGTCAGTGCACACAGTGATAAGTTCATTTATCAATGCATATTAAACAAATATCACGACTGAAATGTTGGACAACAAAAGGAGGTTACAGTGTTGTTAAGTTACAAGCAGAGGTGGGAAGTAACTCGTTTTGAGAATAGGTCATTTTACTACAAAAAAAAAGTACATTTGAAAAGAACCTGTTACTGAGTAAAAAAAAAAAGAAATGTGGAGAAAACCAATTTCCATTATAGAAAAGAAAATGCATGGGCAGTATAAGTAGCCAGATAACGTTGACTAAGAGACAGACTGTGTCCTGTTGACGATGGCTGTTGCTGAACAATAACTGGAGGTTGAGGATTGCCAAGCAGAAAGCTCCCCCGGAGCAGATGACTCAGAGTGCTGCTAATAAAGTTGCATATACAGTGGCTTAACGTTTATTATTCTATTTAGAAAACACCAGTTTTTATGCCAGTCGGATCATTTTCGAATGAATTTATCCGCCACTACTTAACCCTTGTAAAGTCTTTCGGGGGGTCACCTACATACAGTATGTCTTTGTGTCTGTTTGAAGTCTTTCGGGGGGTCACCTACATACATAGTATGTCTTTGTGTCTGTTCCTGCATGAGTATGCGTGTATGTGCATGTTCCTGTACTGCATGACTTGTGCCAACTTTTCCTCATGTTCATTAATACTCATATTCTGGGACAAGATGAAAATCATTGCAAGGATTGCAAGGGTGTGTACAAAAATGCGAAGGACCGCACAAGGGTTAATGGGTTGGTCCATGAAAACTTCAGTCAGACATTTAACCGGTCCTGGCACAACAAAGATTGGGGCCTAGTCTATGAGCTTTGTATGGACCAGTGATTGAAATTGAAGCTAGATTGGATATGCAAACTTTGCAGGGATTTAAGAAAACCTCATGTTGTAGCCAGGTAGTTAAACAGCATCCAACATTCGAAGTTGTCACAATTTGTATTTAAAAACAACTAGTTGCAGATTGGATGTATAATTGGCCCCTTTTCCATGAAGTAATTTAAAGTAACTAAGTAACTTTTTACACAAAGTACATTTTAAATTAAGTACATTTTTACTTTGACTTAATTACATTTTTACTTTGACTTAATTACATTTTTACTTTTACTTAATTACATTTTTACTTTGACTTAATTACATTTATACTTTTACTTAATTACATTTTTACTTTTACTTAATTACATTTTTTAGTACTTTTTTCCCACCTCGGGTTAGAGGCGTGCAAAATTAAAATACACACGCACACACAAACATTCACAGATTCAGACGGAGAGGAATTCATTGACATAATAATGCAGTGTCTTCAGAAGTCTTTGAAACTTTGACTTCTATTGACTCTAACCAACTACACAAACCCTAACTCCTAACCTACTAGCTAACCCTAACTCTGCTAATCTACACTGAGTACACTGACTTTATGCTACTATAAATTTATTGGGGTTTGTTTTTTCTCTCTTTTTTTCTGATGTGTAATTTTTTTTTTATTTTCTTATGTAATGAAAGGTCAGAATAATTTAATACATTTTCAGTTGGCTTAATTCAAATGTCTCTCTTTCAAATGTTGTGATTATTATTAGTGGTTTGGGTTTTTTTCCATCTTTGACTTCCGACTTTGCACCCGAAATCCCTTCCACCATTAATTGGAGGATTGCCGAATTTCTCACGTCACGTTCTCCTGTTGTATTGACTGTGACTTCATTTCCTGTCTGGTTGCTTACCCTGAATGGGCTGCCCGGCACACTGACTCCACCCCATGTCGTGGACACTGTGTGTTTCTGGGCTGAAGTAGGTGTGTACAAGCAGGTGAACAGCCCTGCCTCCTGTTCTTTGACCATCACCTCCACAGGAATTCCATCCGAGTCCTAACAAACACAGACCATCCAAACCACAGTGTTAGCTTTTTTTTTAACCACAAGACATACTTGACTTTAAGTCGGACTTCAGTTAGCCTCAGTTTAGATTACTTTGAGATAATCTAATCTCTTTGTCAAGATTTTAAAAAAACTAACCTGGGGTCAATTAGTGTATTCAGGCTAATCCCCTAGCTGTTTGAAAAAAACTTTTACCACTTAACTAACTCTTAATTCACTGCTGGCTTTTTTTATTCAGTCTTACTCTTAGCTTTCTTGGGCTAACCTTAAATCTTTTTTTTGATCAGATTAAGCTGCTTCCAGCTACTTTGTTGTGTCATTATCGTAACTTTGTTCACATGCTTTGAACCCTGCAGCTAAAAAAAAAAAAGTTTGTTGTTGTTTCTTTTTAAATTTAGTAGGTGCAGCTTATATTCAGGTGTGCTCAATAGTCTGGAAATTAGTATGGAAATAGTAACTTTTCGACATTATCCATTAACCATTGATTGGTTTTAGGCATTACTTTGTGCTCATTTTATTTTGTGGGATTTGTAAGAGACAGTCAGGAGAGGCAGAGAAGTTTGTAAGGGTAGTGCAGGACCAGAAAGGCAGTAGGCAGTAGATGTGCAGTCACAGGGATGGATGCGTTCAGGGGTGGGATTAGATCAGAGTTCAGCTCTGAGCTTCTTTTTGTGTGCTTTGTTGATGGACTGTTAATGAACGTTTGGGTCCATAGTGTAGCAGAGAGCAGAGTACTGGGTTTGATTGCCAGAAAAACCCACATACTTGGCGCCTTCCTCCCTCAGTTTAGATTACTTTGAGATAATCTTATCTCTTTGTCAAGATTTTAAAATTGATTGCCAGAAAACCCACATACTTGGCGCCTTGTTGCTAATACTCATCTTGTAAGTCGCTTGGATAAAACCGTCTGCTAAATGCATAAATGTAAATGGACAGGTTGACAAGGCTCACAAGGTCAAACAGGACCTCGCCTCGACCCCGCCGTCGAAAGCAAATCACTGGACCACCGCTGACGATTGGTGGAGAAGGAGGTGGTGGTGGTGCCGCAGAAAACAGAGAACTGTTGTGTACTGACCCTACATTGGCGACATGAAAGGCTGGGTGTACCCGCATAGAACTAGGAAGCTTCAGCCGGATTGCTGCTGGGTTGAATGACCCCGGTGACCCCAGTCGATATGAGAGTTGTGGAGACGGAGCCATGGATACCACAGGATGAGTGCTAGTCAGGAAGACAGAGCGTGGTACTGAATTGTTTCATTATTGCCAGAAATCAGCTGGTGAACAGGAGACGTCTGGTGGGGGACAGTGCCCAAGACATGTCTGTCTAAGGCAGAGGGCCAAATGGTAGCCTTGTTTTAGTGCCATCAGACCCTTTGCTGACTAGGAACCTCAAAACAGAAAACCTTGTGTACACTATATTAGCAAAAGTATTGGCTCACCTGCCTTGACTCCTACTATGAACTGAAGTGCCATCCCATTCCTAACCCAGAGTTCAATATGATGTCGGTCCACCTTTTGCAGCTATTACAGCGTCACCTCTTCTGGGAAGACTGTCCACAAGGTTGAGGAGAGTGTTTATAGGAATTTTTGACCATTCTTCCAAAAGCGCATTGGTGAGGTCACACACTGATGTTGGTCGAGAAGGCCTGGCTCTCAGTCTCCGCTCTAATTCATCCCAAAGGTGTTCTATCGGGTTCAGGTCAGGACTCTGTGCAGGCCAGTCAAGTTCATCCACACCAGACTCTGTCATCCATGTCGACCATAACCATAATTCGAGTCTGGGTTTGGAGGTTGCCAGGAGAACGGTACATTTCAGACTGCATTGTGCCGACTGTGAAATTTGGTGGAGGAGGAATTATGGTGTGGGGTTGTTTTTCAGGAGCTGGGCTTGGCCCCTTAGTTCCAGTGAAAGGAACTTTGAATGCTTCAGGATACCAAAACATTTTGGACAATTCCATGCTCCCAACCTTGTGGGAACAGTTTGGAGCGGGCCCCTTCCTCTTCCAACATGACTGTGCACCAGTGCACAAAGCAAGGTCCATAAAGACATGGATGACAGAGTCTGGTGTGGATGAACTTGACTGGCCTGCACAGAGTCCTGACCTGAACCCGATAGAACACCTTTGGGATGAATTAGAGCGGAGACTGAGAGCCAGGCCTTCTCGACCAACATCAGTGTGTGACCTCACCAATGCGCTTTTGGAAGAATGGTCAAAAATTCCTATAAACACTCTCCTCAACCTTGTGGACAGTCTTCCCAGAAGAGTTGAAGCTGTAATAGCTGCAAAAGGTGGACCGACATCATATTGAACTCTGGGTTAGGAATGGGATGGCACTTCAGTTCATAGTATGAGTCAAGGCAGGTGAGCCAATACTTTTGGTAATATAGTGTATCTCCTCTTTGTCTCCTACCTGGTAGCTCCATCTCTAACATTCTTTTACCAATGAGGGTTTCATGAGCTGGAAGCCCAAATGATGTAAAAATAAACAAATACTTGAGGTTGTTTAAATTGTGGGCCCTGAATCTATAATCTGTGAAAGTTTAACTTTTTGAATGGAATTATGGAAATAAATAAACTTTTCCATGATATTCT